TTTTGTTATGATATTAATTTTTAAAATACTGCAATAAGTGTATGTCGCTTAAACAAGGTTCTGAACGCGACACTGTTTGAAAGGGGTCCCTTTTCACTGTTGAACTGTGGTGAGTAGGGATGCAGCGATTAACCGGTTTCACGATTAACCACGCTTTAAAACGTCACGGTTAATTAATCGTAAAGGTTCCGCTAAACCGAGTGTTTCTGTTATACGGAACGGAACTGTTGCAGCTTGCGCAAAACGAAAACAAAGTTACACTAGCGGTGCACCAGCTTAAAATGACGTGCTTATCAGAGGCACGGAGGCTACTACATGCATTAGATTAACTGACAGAGCAGAGGTCACCTTTTTTTAATTCCAATGGTAGAGATGGACTTTTGTTTGACTTTTGTTTATTATTATTTTGTGCTGTATTGTTGGTTACCGTGTTATTTCGGTTTCAAAAGACAGCAATAAATAACACTTTAATATCTAAAAAGTGTTCATGTGATTTTATACATTAGTAATGTTGGGAAATGAATAAATGCATAATAATCGGCATAACCGTAAAACCGTGATTATTCCTCAGACAATAATCGTACCAACAAAATCTATAATCGTTGCATCCCTACAGATGTAAACCTCCATGTGAACTGCAGTATTTCCTCTCTCAATCAGTAGAAAATATGGTTAACACCCGGTCATGCATGAAAAAAAAATACCGTCATGTACCGTGAAACCGGTATCATTTTGAAAAATATACATTTTTGGTCATACCGCCCAGCACTAGTGTGACATCCCAAAACCTGACTACACAGGTTTGCACTGTGGTTTAGAAAGGCCCTGGGTAGTGGTCGACCGATATATCGCCAAGGCCAATATATCGCCAAGGCCGATATTTGGCATTTTTTAAATATCGGCATTGGCCGATAAGTTTTCCTGTTTTGCCGATGCGTTCGAGGCGGCACTTTTATTTTGACGGCGCGACGGACTTTTATTTTGACGGCGCTGAGAACGGCAGCGCCTGAGCACTGCATGTGTATCCAGCATGATCGCGTGTTCTCTGTGTGAGGGTCGATCCGTGAGAATGGAATGCTGACAGGAGGAGAGTTCAGCTTCACTGGAGACGCGCGATCGACAAACTTTAAACTCGTGATTTTAAATTATGCTTTCAATTTTGCCCGCTGTCATATTCATGTCATTTTCACTGTATGTAAAATGAGTGTTACCTTGGCTTTATTTGAAAAAATATGATTAATGCACACAAACTTCCCAGAATACTGAGTGCCCTGTTGGTTACAGTGTTTACTTCCTTTTTAATTATATTTTTATTAAATATTTATTTTTTATTTTTTAAACAATTTAAAAGGCTGTCAAAAAACCAATATCGGTCGACCACTAGCCCTGGGTTAATATTTTTTGGCCCAAAAGTGCAAACATTGTTGTGACTGGATGGTACTTGTTCTGATCTGACTGAAGATTGTACTTGGGTTTAAAAGTTTGGGAACCGCTGAGCTAGTGCATTTTCCACACGGTCTCTCCAGTCTTTCTCTGTTAAACATAAGCAATAAACACGCGTATCTGACTCAGGCAGACGATGACGTGTGGTGGTCTGTAGGGTTAATGCTGGCCGGCTGCGGTGCAGTATTCTCAGGGTTTTAGGGGAGAGATGCCGTGGTTCGGCGTGTACCTGTCACTACTAAATGATTGCTCATTTCCTGCCGCGGGAGGAGGGGTGGGGAGAACCGTAATAGCACACAGCTGCCTGAGCTGGACGCTACCTTTCCTCTCCTCCGCTGTCTTGTTCTCTTGCTATTTATCGTTGTATCTTCCTCTCCTCCTCTTTCCCAGTCTGTTTGTATTGTTTATATGTAAGACTGTCTCTGGAATGGCAGAGGTGGACACACACCCATGGTGCCTCAGTGTGCATGTTCTCCACCTAGCTTCATTTGCGTGTCTGTGTGGGTTTGTGTTTGTGCGTACACACATGCGCGTGTTAAAGTGTGTGTATGCTAGGGGGAGGATTGGTTTAAGGAGGGGTCAGTAACAAATTCCATCCCGGTTCCAAACTAGGTCACATGACCCAGAATGGAAGTTTAGCAATGACCAGCTGTAGTCCACATTACACAGCAGGAGAAACTAAAGCACAATCGGTTAACTGTAGACGGGACAAGATATGAGTATCTGAGCAAATAATAAATTAGTCTCAGTTCCACAATTGGACCAGAGCTGCATTTATTCCATCAGTTCTGTCTAGAGATGCTAATATCTGTCATTGTTTTCATATTGTGTTTTCAGGACAGATATGATACAGATATATACTTTTTTAATACTTTAATACTTTTTTTCAGGATTCTTTGATGAGTAAAAGGTTAAAAAGAAGAGCATTAATTTAAAATAGAAATCTCTTCTAACAATATACACTACTTCAAAAGTTTGGGGTCAGTAAATTTTTATTCTTTCTTTCTTTGAAAGAAATTACAACTTTTATTCAGCAAGGATGTGTTAAATTGTTAAGAAGTGATAGCAAAGATTTATATTGTTAGAAAATATTTATAT